AACCCGCACGTCCCTACTAGAGGATGGGCGGGGGGGGGGGGGGGCTAGGCGGTTTTCCTTATTTTTTAGTTTAAAATAGTTGATAATAAATACCATATTATAGAAAGCACTTGACACAGCTAGGCACAAGACTGACGCCTAGCATCTGGGTAGATTTTTTCTTTGTTAAGTGGTGGTGGAGGAAGGCTATAGCGGAGGAAATCATGATCAAGATCTAAGCGGTGCAGTGTAAGCAGCCCCACGCTCCTCTAGGTGCTCCTAAGACTAGGCGGGCCGCTTAGGTACCTCGAGCCTTGGTGGACACCTAGGCGGGTAAAATATTAGCCTTTTTAGAACATTGGTGAGTGATGTCGATGGCGTGAGCGTCGTGGCAAAACCGGGCGATACTCCCGATTAAGTCAAATAAGTAATCAATATGTGATTTCATAGTGATAATCAACAAGATTTGAAGTATCATAGCTCTTATCACGAATAGCATTTTGACTTTTCTTTTTGTTTCAATCTTATAATTTATGATTACTCATGATTGTTTTCTTATATATATATAGAGGAATATTGATATGCTTAGTACCAAGCAACAAGTTTGGTGCTTGGTAGGGAGGTGGAGAAATCTCAACCAGATATGTGAGTGTGAGATTAGTTGGATGGATAACACATCCTCATGTGACACATTTTCTCTTTGTACTTTACAACCTTTAGATTGTGGGGTTGAGATGCATCAACCTCACTACCAAGTACCAAGTTTTTGTGTGTATATGTGTGTGTGGGGTCGAGATGCATCAATCTCACTACCAAGTACCAAGTTTTTGTGTGTGTGGGTGTGTGTATAATACGAAACGCAATCCCATGATTTGTATGATTACCTATAATTGTTGGGATCGCTTTTGGTAGGCTTCATTATACATTTGTATTTAAACTATGCCCATGAATAGAAAACTCGTGGTGCTCATCCAATTTTACTTGCATGGTATTAGAGCCGTCGTCCAATAGAATTGATCCGCTTCTCCCCTCTCAATGGAAACTTCCTCCTCTTCTTTGTATTCTATCATATCAGAACTCATTGGCTTTGACTCATCTCGTGCTACATGGGATACTTGTGTGACATTACGCTCAACAAAATCAAGTATGTGTGATGGAGTTACGGACTTAACTACGCCAACTTCAAAAAGGCTCTCTATCCGGGGCCGAGCATCTAAATCGTGCCAGGTTGAGCCCTGGTAGCCTTGCAACTTGTGTTACATGGGTACTTGACTATCATGAAGATGTACCTGTACTCCACACTTTCCGTACCCGACACTTTCCGTACCTGAACCCTACACTTCTTCGACACTTATTAGCTATATGTATATGCATCTATTTAGACATGTGCTCAATTATACAATACATATGTTAATTTAAAACACCCGTCGTACACTTTTTAGACTTATATCCTACATTTCGCACCAAATTTTGAAACTTGTTAGATAATGATCGGGTTCATGTCAGCCTTAACAACTACGATTTCAAAGCATCATTTGCTTATCTAGCTTAGAACTTTGGTAATAACTTATGCGTTACAACCGTGTCCCATACCCTATCTCTTAACAAATTTACCGTGTTCCGTATCCACTCCCACACCCAAATCGTACCTGTATCCATGCAAATTAGCTTGCAACAATTGATTTGGCCTATCTCATATAATAAAACCTAGTAATATTGATTCCCAACAATTACGTTAAATCCTGCAAATCATGAGGTTGTGTATCCTATGACAAATACCTATAAGAAGGAAAATCATGAGTTAGCATAAATTATGAGATTTATACAAAGGTGGAAGTCAAACTGTTATCCGTGGTAAGGATTTTGATTTTTTTTTTAAATCTTGTTGATTAATTACCATGATTCTTTTGCCTAATATGAACATTTTATTCTTGCCTAATAGCATTTAATATTATTTAGGTAATAAGGAACACTCCATTTGGATCCAATAAAAATGTCAAAATATCATTTGGATCAAATAAAAATGCCAAAACATCAAACTTCTTACAAATGGGAATACTTTCAACTTTTAATAAATTTCAGTGTTTACCCCTCATTCTGAGGTTACCCTTTGCGCTTCATCTTGCAATTCTTGCTGCTGTTCTTTGTGGTGCTGAAAAAGAGCTATTATTACTCTAGAACTGTTTTCTGCTTCTGTAACATAACTGAGTGAGTAGATTGTTCTCTTGGATATTGAGTAGTTTCTTGTGTCAAGATTTTTGTTCGTGATGCCATTTCTAGAATACATGGCTATAGGTGTTACTGTTTGCTGTTGTTTTTATTATTCTTTCTTAACAGAACTGCATGGAGAAAAAGAATTTATGTAGCTGATCTGAAGAGATGGCAAATGCTCTCTTTTCAAGTTGCTGTTACGGAATTGTAATTATGTGAATTTTGCATGTAACTGATTGCATGGATAACAATTTCATTTTCCCCATGATTTTCAGTTGCCGGCTTAAACGGAACCATGCCTGTTGCATCTGGAAGTGTTGAAATTGGAAATAGGAGAGTTCTTTTGAAAGGGAAAGAAAGAGAAGCTTCTCATGTAGGAGTCTAATACTGCTTTTGTATTTTGGTTTATTTTTTTGGTTTATATTCCAACTTTGGATCACCAAAATGCCTAACTTTTAATACAGGTGTCAGATGGCTATTCTCAGCAGCAGAACACAACGGCTTCTGTAGGAAACCTAACTGCTTCATCTTCTTCTAAACAGATCCAACGTCATGAAGCCAGTGGAAGAAATATCAGAAGAATACTGTTGAACAAGGTTTCTCGTCACAGTCAATCATATTCGGCTGGAGCGCAGCATGAGCAGCAAACTCAGGATGTGAGCTCTCAGAAAGACAAGCGCCCTCCCCGTCCGCCTAACCGTTTAGGTCAAAAGGATCACATCAGTATTGCAGCACAATCATCCATCCCTTACAATGATGGAAAAGGATCTACAGATGATAAAGTTGTTGTGAATAATCTAAATGGTTCTTCCATTGGTGATAAGAATGAGAAACGCATGAGAAATAAGGACAGGCCTGATCGTGGAGTTTGGACCCCTCATCGTGCTGATGGAGTCAACACTAATGGTAGCGTTTATCTTTCTGCACCACAGTTATCGGAGTCCTCAGATGGTATCTATATGTCTCATGAAGAATGCGGTACTAACTCACGTGCTGCATATGATGCTCCATTAAGTCACGAAGAGATAAGATCTGATCTGCCAAATTTAAATAGAAATGCAGAAAGTCGAAGTGGACGAGTGAATATTTCCCCTGTAGAGAATGGTGCTATTTTCTACTCATTGCATAATGTTTGATATTAAAAATGCCTATGCTACTTTTATGCTCTGCATTAACCCACCTGATTGCTGATATATGTAATTCAAAATTTGGTATAGGGGCACATCGGTATGCTGGGCGCCGTGGGTTACCACATGGCATGAAGGAACTGGATGGCTCTCCGAATCTTTCTGAGGGAAAGACATCGAAGAAAGCAGTTTCCGCCGGTTTTGGCTCCTATGAGGTGAGATTTATCAACTACTCTTTCTGAATCATATCTTGGCTACTTTCTGTTTGGTCAAAAAGATTTTTCCAACCAAGGTAATAATTTTCCATTTCTACTGCAGAAACAAGTATGGGTTCAGAAGTCAGGTGCTGGTTCATAGTTCTTTGGTTCTGGATGGTAAGCTTTTATGCAACTGTGAGACTCTGAGTTGTGGCACTCCTTCAAAAGCTAGAATGTGACAGAATAGCATGAAATTTGTTTTTCTTGGAACTAGAACTTAAGTTGAAAAGGTATAATAAGAATTAATCAACAATGCGGAGTAGAATTAATTCATCTTTTAACTTACTAATAAAACTCCTGTGCCCATTTTAAAGAAAAAATAATAATCTTGTCATCTATGAAATTTAATCTGTTCCAGGATGTGGTAAACTTGTTATAAAGGTGTACTTTAAAATCTAATTTGATCTAGATTTAATGAACAGAAGAGACTCTTGAATCTTTAGGCACTTATTGCCATGGTCATGCAAAGACTTTTGTTGCAATTTCCCAGTCCAAATGTTTTCTCCTTTGATCATGTTGTCCTCTGTGGGACTATGACCTTGTAAAAACTTTTGCAAGTCCGTGTTCATCTTGGTATAAATGTGTCGTTGACATCATCCAGGTATCAAAAAGTCATGGGCCTCTTATAACTTGAAATTATGCATAGTTTTTTTTAGCAATTTGGCTCTAGGAAAAAAATTAAAAATGAGTGTAGCAGAAATGATAATATTGCGATGGTCTTGTGGGTATACATTAAAAGATAGGATAAGAAATGAGTGCATCCGTAGTAAATTAGAGGTTGCGCCTATTGAGAATAAAATGAGAGAGAATAGATTAAGATGGTTTGGTCATGTACAACAAAGACCCCTTAGTGCACCTATTAGGAAAAGCGATAATATTAGAGTTAATAAGGCTAGGAGATCTAGAGGTAGACTTAGAATGACTTGGTTAGAAGCAATTAAGAGGGGTATGATTAAGACTAACTTAACGGAGGAGATGACCCATAATAGAATAGAATGTAAAAATAGGATTCATGTAGCCGACCCCAAACATTTGGGATAAAGGCTTGGTGGTGGTGGTGGTTGTTTCGACCAGCTTAATGCAAGTGAGAACCTTGCCTGCAACAGAATGCTATCTACTTTGCAAAATGTTCATAACATAGAGGTTAAGCGTTTTCCCATTATCGAAGCCATTTCTTGATTGGAAGACAGGAACTTTTGTAAGTTTGAAGATATTATAGCGTCAATGTTCTGGTCTATCATCATCATAATTGACTACTTAATTTCCAACATTTGCCTCCCACAATTCTCATTGACATTGTTTGTAGGCTCTCTGTATACACCTCTGCTAAGTCTAGAACTCAACATATTCTTGTGTTTTTATTTCTCAGCCCTATTTAAAGGTTTAGCTACTTGATCTTGTCCATCTGCTGTCAATCAGCAAAAAGTCTCTATTTTATCATTGGTATTAAACAGCTATGTAGTTTTGTATTAATGTAATGGCTCTGGTTTGTAAAAATAGAGACCTGCTAGGGTTCCTTTAAGTTTCTCTCTCTGTGCCATTCCTTGTATTTTACCCTTTCTCATTGGTTCCATTCAGATTGTTTTAGATCTGATTGATATGCTGACTCAAGATGCAGGTCCTTTTGTTGATTTAGGTTTTAAAGCATATTATACAACTGCGATCCTAATCCCTGAACCACTTTGTCCTGTGATCAGGGCCTCGGTTCCACATTACAGTTGTTCTTACCGCTTGCTTGGAGACCAGCAAGCTTTGATGCCCGTTGGAATTGCACCTGAAATTCAGAGTTTTATGATTTTTAATATGCTAGAAATTTAGAAGTTTGATATATGGACCCCTTGAAAAAATGATATGAATGTTCAAATGGTAGCCATGAAAAAGATAAATACTGAAATATAGTTCCTTTAACTTATAATAACACATGGTCTTTTGTGATAAAACATAGTTTTCATGGATGAGCTCTTACATAGTTTTCATGGATACACTCTTACATGTTCTGATCACTTTCTCATTTGGAATAAGAGATTCCACCCCTGTAATTCTCCTGTAGTGGCCATGTCCTGTACCTACGGGATGTTAGACAGCCGAATAAAAGGAACAAAGGCCAAAACACAACCTTCTTTTATCCCTGTCCTCTGCTTTTATTTTAACTATTATTTTGTTTATATGGTTTTTTTAGCTCAGCTTTTTATATGAAGTGATTTCACATTTTTCAGGTTATGGTTCAATGTGTTTTTTTAGATTGCTTAAGCTGCTGATATAATCCTAACTACAAGACCTATATTATGCGTTGCAGGTTTTTCCAACACTGGGTAACATTTCGTAAAGGTGCGGCAGCAAGCATTACTCCTTGTTCAGTTGCACTGATTAAGCATGCCTCTGCCATATCCTTGTCTTTTTCAAATTGCAAGCTATTTCAGTTCTACCTATTAACTATTGGCAAGTTAATAGGGTATCGACACATTTACAGAGACAAACACACAAGTGACAGAGATGATAGTTTTGCCTCCTTGGATGCCTAACCTTGTGCTGGAGTAGTACTCTGCAACAAAATGCAGTATGGGCATGGAGATCCTCATGGAGCCTGGCTCATGAGAATTTGATCGGAGCAAGAGCCTTCGGTGAGATATACGAGTTAGAGAGCAGTCACCTTTGTCTCAATGTCTTTATGTAGGCATGATTGTAAATATGGCAATTGAAAGCCTTCTTATGTGTTGTTTATAGATCTAAGTTCAAGAAGCAGTACATGATTGGAGTTGGGCTTTTTGACAGTGACCATTATGAATAATTTAGATTGCTTCTTTGGTCTGGGTTAGGGTTGAAAGTGTGGATGAAGAGACAAAGTGACAAACTTGGTTTCAGAGGTGTCTTAAGCTCTTACGATATATACGAAGATAAATGAATATCTTGTTGTTTACAATTTCCCTTGCTGAATCAGGTACCTGTGTTTTAAGTATTGCCTTGTTATCTTAAAGGTTCTGGAGATTCATACTAGAGTCATACTTCCATGCTTATTTTGTTTATAGTGTCATTAAAACTGAGAATTTCATTGCTCATTCTTAATTAAGCAAAATCAATGTGCTGATTGGGCAACAATCCAATTCTTGGAACGTGTGACTAATTAATGTTCTTTCTTAAGAGTTTTGTTATGTTTGGACGCAGGCATGTTAGATTTTAGACGTGTATCCCTGTAATTCGACAGCCGGGTGAAAACAAACAGCCGCCCCCCACCCCCTCTAAAAAAAAAATAGGAAAACACTACCCACACACCTCCAACACACCTTGGGGCACACCCCCTCTCTCAGCTACAGTGCACGGGGCCCGTTTTAGATTTTTTTTTTATTTTTAAAAAAAATCTAAAGTGGACTTCGTACACTGTAGCTGAGAGAGGAGGTGTGCTCTAAGGTGTGGTTGGAGGTATGCTTGTAGTACCACCCAAAAAAATAATAAAGCCCCCACCAACTACCTCCTCCCAAAAAAAAAAAAGTAATCAACCAAGTAGAATTTTGAATCTGTCAAGGCAATGGGGACGGCAGCTCCTACGAGACCCTTAAAAGGTAAGGGCATTTTAGCTTCTTCTCCATAGCGCCAGGTGAGTCTCCATCATCTCAAGAGGATCACTGTGAGCAAGATCTTCAAAGATCCATCGGTGGGCCCATCCCTCCATCTTGTTCATTCAAAAAAAAGAGCTCCTTCGGCGTCTCCTATTTTTCGAAACCGTTCGCCTCCCTTTTCTCTCACACGTCTACATCAAAACCGCCTCCGCCTCCTCACCTCCCCCCTCTAATCCCTCTCCATCATCTACTTCAAAGCCCAAGCACGAATAGAAGAAGAAATCCCCAACTTTCATCTCTGATCCTGTAGAGAAAAGGTTGGACAAAGGGTCACCAACAAGGAGGAGCTCAAGCGCAGAAATATGAACTTTCCTCGCTACCCCTTAGAAGAAGATTATGGTGCTAAGCTCCCAAGAAGGTGTTCTGTTGTGGAGATGAGCGTCACAACGCTAACAAGCGCCCTAAAGGAGCATACGTTTGCTTTAGATGTGGGAAGGAAGGGAATATGAAGACAGAATGCAGATCTCACCTGAGACCACTGAAATCACCCTAGAGGGGTGTTGAATAGGGTAAAGCTAATCTAATCCGATTTCGATATTAAATTAAAACTTATAATTCAATATCCTAACAATATGATATACAAAGAGATAAGAAGGATAAACAATGAGACAAAAGGCAATATAAACACAAGCACAAGATATAAACAGAATCGCAAACACTATATGATCACGGAATTTGGTCAACCCTCGATCTACGTCTCCGCTCCTCACCTTGAGGAGATCTCCACTATATCTCAAATACTACACAATAACGGTTTCCAAAGCTCACCGATACCTTTTATAATGCACACGATGTCAATCACACAAGCTACACTTGTCTAAGTGTTGGACTACCCGTGTCACCTTCCTCAAGTGTTTGGTATTACAACCTCTTCCTAGGATTTACAACCAACTCACTCCTCTTGGAATTGACCCTGGTCTTTCCCAACCACTCCTCCTAAGTGTTCTTGTGTATTACAACGTGTTTAACAATAAGTGCGAATAAATAATTTTTGTTCTCTAAACAAGTGAGAACAAAAAAATAATATCTTTCAATGACTCACAACCCAATTATATGAAATACTAAAGCTCAAGTGGTTATGTGTGTAAACAATGAATAAAATGGAATCAAACTCAAATAAATCTAGTTTATATATGAGAATCAATATATAAGATCAGCTAGAGAAAAAGTTTAGAAAACTTCTCCAAAACAAGGAGAGACGAGATTTGACGATGAGCGGTTCAAAATTGAAATCGAGATCCTTCACTATGTAAAGCTCTTTTTCTCATAAACAAACACACTCTTTATTCTCAAAAAACGTGCAGGTGCAGCCAAAATGGCTGAACTATCTTGTAAAACTCTTTTCGTTCAAACAAGTCTTGAGGCCTATTTATAGCCTCTCAAACAGATCAAAATAAAAACTAGTCGTTACAGATGATCAGTCGACTGATAGGTATATCGGTCGACTGAGCATTCGACCGTTGGCTAATTCTAAAAAAATAAAACAACGTCGGTCGACTGATAAAAACTTGATCGGTCGACTGACAACACTGTTCGATCGACTGACTCTATTTGCCGGTCTACGACTATAAAAGAGAATACTGTAAAAACACTTCTACCAAGTCGACTAAAAAATACGATCGGTCGACTGAAGTAATGTTCGGTCGACTGACTCGAACAACCGGTCGACTGAAAACAGACACGGCAGATACTTGAATTTGCTGAAAAGTTAATTTTCTAAATTTGATTTAAAATAGTAAATCAACTCCAAAAATAGTGAAACTTGGGAAAACATTTATACTTATGAAAATAAACATGTTGGAAGAGAAATTCCTAAAATAGCATTTTCTATTTATGAAAACTCACTATTTTGCAAAACGATAAAAAATACGACATCGCTAAACACTTGATTTTGATGAAATCATTTTAAACAACTTATCTACAAAGATATTCTAAAAATCCTTTAACAAATCGAAACAAGTAATGAAAATGATAAATCGAATAATATGTATGTGTATGGTTTGAGCTTTAAGTATAAACACATAAAGTAAAACACCTAAAACACAAACACTATACCCAAGCAAATAATCTGCAGAAGCTTGATCTTGGTAGTAGGTGATACGGCATAAACATGTACCAAAAATGTTGCAAGTGTACAACCGTGTCAAGTTATAGTATAAAGATATTGATCCACGAGGAAGGTATTTTGTAGGAGAAAATATAAAATCGATTCTTATGTTGTCTGCGTGACAAATAGGAGTGATGAGTGAATGTGATTGTGGAGAGATGGAGAGAATGAAAATGATTGTGTAAAGGAGTGATGAGTGAATGTGATTGTGGAGAGATGGAGAGAATGAAAATGATTGTGTAAATAAATATATTTGAGAGTGGAAGTGATAATATAAATGTGATCAACAAGGCAAGAAGGAAAAATCAAGAACAAATAAAAATCAAGAATGTAAAGATAGCGGATTTAATTAAAGATATGGGTAATCTAGAATTGAATCTACTTCTTAGAAAAAGGTGATTCCCTAGAGGGTTCTAGTCTAAAGGCGAATCAAAGAAAATAAAAATGAACAAAAAGAAAAACTAAACCCAAGAGGGTTTTAGCCTCAAGGTGAATAGTACAAGAAATTAAAATCTAACTACAAAATAAATTGTAAAATCTAAACTACAAAATAAATTATAAGAATTAAATGCAAAAAAATAAATCTACTCTATAAGCATGAAATAAATCTAATCTATAAACATGAATAAATCTAAGGCAAGAGGGTTCTAGCCTCTTGGCTATTTAAACAAGAAAATAAAATCTAATTACAAGCATGAAAATAAATCTAAACTAATAAGCAATAAAAGAGAAATAAGAAAAACAAACCTTCAAATTAATCTCCATCTTCATCTTTATCTTCATCATCCAACAAAGAGAAGAAGAGAAAAATTTAAAGTGGTGAAAAAATTATTTTATTAATTATAACAAAAAGTTATAAATTTGGAAGGCTTTCTCAATTAAGAGTAGCCCTCCTCTCCAAAATGAGTTATAAAAATTTTCACACCCCTAACCCCTCACTCTCTACCCCTATTTATAGTAAACACCAGTGATGAGAGCCCTTGGATCGAAATCTTATCCAAAAACCATGAATTTTAGCCTTAGATTTGTAACAGAATAGCGATGACATCGATACCAGCATCGATGCGGTCATCGATGCCCAGTGCGCTGTAATTACATTCCGCAGCTTCTTCTTCTTTTATGCTTTGGGCTTGGGCTTCTTTGGCATTTCTTCTTCTTTTGGGCTTTCATGGTTGAGTTCTTCATTTAATTAGTGGGCTTTGTTGAGAGAAGAGATATTGGGCTTTTATTTTTGATTAACCTGCAATTAAAGATAAAATATTTATTAGTGATAAATTTATTCATATAAACTAGATAATGAGGGTATAAAATTATAATAAAATATGATTATCAAATACCCCCACACCTAAACTTTTGCTAGTCTTCTAGCAAAGAAAGAAAAATAAAAGAAAACCTAACTCACTTTCGTAGGAATGGCGGTTGTATTTAGCGCATACAACAAGCCTTTAAACCCCTAGGTTATCCTAGTGGACGAGTTGTAGTCTCGTGATAGTTTGCAGTGAATATACCCATAAAATTCGGTCATCTTGCCAAATTAAAGAAGTTAGTAAATAACTAAGTTTACTTAATAATTGAAGCTAGTTATTACTCAAGAAAATATTTTTACATATAACTCTTAAGGTAAATTTCCTAGAAAATCTTCTCATTATAGCAATACAAAACCAAGCCAAACTTAAAAATTTAATTTAAAAGTTTTGAAAAGAACATGCTAACTCTTTGTTTAAAATAATATTCAAGTTGCTTGATCAAAAATATTTTCCAAGACCATATATACTGTATATAAAACATTTATTAGTATTTTATTTATTTATTTTAACTCTTTCGTCCTTAGTGATTTTTTTTCTACTTTAACGGGCTTTCTAAGCGACCGTTTAACGAGTTTTGGGCCAATGGATCCCAACCCAATTGGGCTTAGGTCATTAAGTATGAAAATACTCCTTAGGTTTAATTACTCGGTCAGCTTAGGCTTTATAAGATAGAATCACTTTGAATTTAAGAGTTTTTTTTCTTTTGGTGCCCATTTTTCGCACTCTTCTTTTGTAATTTTTTTATATGTATATGTATATATATTTTGAAAAATATGTAAGTCAAGACACTTTGAAAAATTATTTTAACTCTAAGCTAAGCATGCATAAATTCCATTATTTTAAATAAAAATCTAAGTTAAGGCTTAAGTGAAGTATACTACTTTGAAAATAA